TCGCAGCATACACCACCACCACAGGCACCAACCTCACAGCCGGAGTTTCCACCTCCGCCACCGCCACCCCTGCCTACGGCCGAACCTGTCACTCCACCACCATCCACATTCCAACACAGCCCGCCGCCACCACCCACCGCACGGGGCAACACAGCGCCTGCCCCACCACCACCACACATCCCATCCCCCACACCACCTGTTCCAGACTCTTGGAACCCAACCGAGCAACATTGGGACTCCAACACGCTGCACGGCCACCAACTACATCGTACAATCCAACCCACCCAGTGGTCTCGAAAAGCAGGCGTGGCAGGACTCCCAACCTTTGAGGTTTTCCCGTGGCAATTGGCTTACCACGGCACCTCCGAGTTCACCGCCCGCACCCTGAGCAACGGCAAATACACAGGTTTTATTGCCACCAGAAGCATAGCGGAGTCGGTTTTCGTGACCCATTTTCTCCAACAACTCCGTGAAAAGCGCCTTGACCTTGACGGCATCGCGGAGACCCTCCACACCCAACAGAGCACAGACATCCCCAACAAAACCACCCACGCCCGAGCGTTTCACGCTCCCCTCATCAAACTACTAATCGACCAACTGCAAACCCACTCTCCAGCACCTGCGGAAGGCACCGCTCTACGCGCCCTCAAAACACCAACGACGAACTGGCTCGCGCACGTCAGAAGCTCCACGACCTGGGCAACCCACTCACACCAGTCAAGAGCACCAGCCGATCCTCCGCACCAGCCGCCCCATCTCATGCACCCACTCCACCACCACCCAAACCGCCAGCCCTCACCGACGTCTTGCAACCACCACACCCAACGCTGCAAGACGATATCCCCGAAGGCTGGAACCACCCAGAGATCCAACAATGGGTCACTACCTTCGACCCCACCATCCAAGAAGCCGCCAAGGATGTCGTTCGTTTGCTGCAAACAAGCAAAGTCACCACGCAGCAGCTAAAAGAAGCAGCCACAAAGTACGGCTTACCCCTCAACCGGGTCAACCGACTCCCCATTCGTAGCCTACAACAGCTGGTGGGTGTTGGAGCAGCCATCGGTTGCTGACTCGCCATCCTTGCCCAGCAGCAACCCAGCCACACCAACCTTACCCAACTCTTCCACTTGCACCGAGCACTCTCTATACTCATTCACCGCGCCCAATACATCGACCGTGCCGAAGCCATCTTTGCAACCGGCCTTATCCATATCACCCTCCTTTTCGCATACCCTTCCAACACCAATCGCTCACAACAATGGCGCAACCGTCTCCGCCAACTCCACATTTTGCCCCACACATACCACTACCACAACTTCCTCTCCTCGAATTCAGTCTACATCAAGCTCCACTTCGATCCCGACCAGCCCCAACGCTGCTACCATCAGCATGGCCATTTCTATGTTGGCTCCACAGCTATTGGCATTCCCCACCGCGAGCACAATCGCCGCGCCAAACTCAAACAACTCCAAAACAACATCCCCATCTCTGCAGAACTCTCCTTACGTTATTGGCACTCACACAACAACATCCACCACTACACCACCATACAACTTACTTCCCATGACACATATGACCAAGCCTGGATCCAAGAGCACCACTACATCGCAAACTGGATGCCTTCGCTCAACTGGCCTTTCATCTCCCACCACCTCAAACTCAAAGCTCAGGGCTGGCAGTTCACAAAACACAGAGCCCACTTCTACTCCAGATTAGCAACCCACAAACGACTTTTTCGACGCCTCCGGCAACGCCAGTACACCCTCAGAGAACCACACCTTTACACCTCCACCAAACATCACGCCCTCCAACTTCTCCGCAACCTTACCAAACACACCGCAGCCTCCTTTGAAGCAGCCAAAGAGCTACGAAGCGGCCGCCACACGGACCTTGAAGTATACGCAATCCGGCGCATGGCCGCAAACCTGGAAGAACCCGGCCGCAGCCGAGCTCTCCACATCCTCAACAAAGCCCTGATCTACCGCAACCTCACACCGCCAAAACCAAATATTCCATTGACAGTGCCCTTCTTGGCCCACGACGACTTCACTAAGCACTGCCAGCAGTGGCTTCGTACCACCATCCAGCAGCACAAGCATTTCACCATCCCCCTCCACCTCCCCTCCCACAGACTGAGAGAAGCCGCACACAAAACCCTCCGTTCCCACCTGCATAACCACCGCACATGGGAGGACACCCTCCACTCCCCGCCAGATCCAGCAGACCTCCCCTGCGCATGCGATCACCTTCGCACCCTCTTGCAGGATCCCGATACCCCCACCATCAACGGCCACTACATTCTTACACTGGACCAACTCCAACTCCCTACACACCTCGGCATTTTTCTCAACGCCAATATGAACAGCACCTACTACCCAAGCAAAGCCCGATACTTCCTCATTTTCAAGACGGCCTACACAAAATGGCTCAAACTACAAGGGCTTCCGCCATCCCTCGTTCAGCATTTGCAGCCATTCCTTGAGCACCAATGGCGCCTCCACAACATCCACCTCAAGCAGCAACCCCGTTTTACGGCTCGCCTGCTTCGCCAACTCCAAGAACATCTTGGCAAACACACATTACTCCACCATGCCGACCACGAGCTCCAACAACTCCGGCTGTTTTGCCCTCGCCAATATTTCACTGGCGCCTTGAATACCTGGCAATCCCCCGAACTTTTCGAACCACTTCCCTACATTACTGCCGCCAACATCCACGATCACCTGGCCGCCACTGTCCCCCCCATTTTGCGCACTCGCTACAAGTGGGGCTTCCGAAAGGACTTCAACATTCCCTACGGCGTTGTCCACCTCAAGGAGAAGAAGCACTGGCAAAAAGGCCGTACAATTATCTCATACTTCCAATCACTCAGTGGCAACCTGCTTCGCATTACCAGCCGTGCCCTTGACATCATCCTCCAACACCTCTACCCTCAACATCCTGGCCAAATGTCCATTCCCCAGCTTTGGCACCACTTTCACAGCTACCTCACCCAAACCCCACCAGACATCTCACTACACGCCACCAACGATGACCTGGTCGGCTTCTTCAACTCAGTCCCACAGCACCGACTCATCGATGCAGTTCACTCCCTCGTCCACCACTGGCAACAACAGCAACCCACACACACCTTGACGGTGGATGTCCAGGCCACCGGCAATCCTTTCCACCACTCACACATTGGCAGACACCATCGGAAACACCCTACCCAACGCACCATCCAGACTTCCGACATTACCACCATCGTGGCTTTTGCCCTCAACACATGCATTTTCCGGGCTTGCAACAATACTTACAAACAAATCCGAGGGGCCGGGATTGGATCCCAGCTCTCTCCAGCCCTATGCAATGTTGCCATCACCCTCATTGAGCATTCCTGGCATCAGATCCACAACAACCTCCTTCAACACACAGACCTCCACTTTACTTACTATCGGTATGTCGACAACCGCTTCATTGTCCACAACGAACATTTCCTTCAACACCCGGCTATCCAAACCCTCATCCACCACAATTTCTTTGGCGACCCAGTGGAACTCGAACCGGTGGAGGATTTTCATCTCCTCGGTTTCAACATCGACCTCCCACAACGCACCATCACCTACATGCAACCTTCCCAACCCTGGAAAATCCGGGACTCCACCACCGCCGGGAGCCAGCGCTTGGCTCTATCAGGCCTCCAATCACGACTCCACACCACTCGAAAATACACACTTCCACCTTCTAGCGCTGAAGCTGCTACGGCTGAACTCGTGAACCTGTATGTCCAAAAGGGGCATAACTATCACGCCTGCCACCGGTTTTTGAAAAAGCGCCGAACGCGGCGACTTGTGTGTGTCCACCCCTGGACAAAGGGTTTTCCACCACCACCTCTCGCAAGCAGGGGGATCAGGGACGTTTGGCTTGGCCTGATCCAACGAAGCTCCAGCCATTCGTCAGGATATTCTCGAGGGACGCCTTGAGAACGTACCTGCAAAGTTCTTCACACGCTGTTACTCCACTCTTCCACGGTTTGTTTCATAGTTCTTCATGATACCTCCCACAAACCCACCGCCACCTTGCGCCGCTTTGCAGCCGACTTTGCGTGTCAGATCGTTTTTGAGTGCAGCTGCCAACATTGTTCAACAATACGGTTTTTTGCAGACTCATGCACCTTGCCGTTCCATCACCTTCCTTCCCATCGTGAACTTGCGTTAACGGAATACAAGTGTCAGAGTGTGTGTCTGAAAAGTAAGGCATGCTAGTTCACACAGTTGGCACCACTGGATTATAGCCAATGAGCATAGAGACTCTAACCACAGGGTTGCAGGTGAAGAATTTCATCTTAAGGTGGCGACCCCTATGCCACGGCAGACCACAGGTTCTTTCGTCGATCCCCTTAGATGAACTCCGCTGTTCAAGCGCTTCGGTCTGTCAACCGTCATTCTTTATGGTGACACAGGACCGAAGCGCATGGACGATGGATGGCATGACGTGAATGACGGATGGATGGCATGACCCCCGATGTTGGATGACCATGAAATCCGAATACCAAACAGGTGCCATCCACTTCCATGAATTCAGGGAAGGTATTATACTGCTACAGACCCAAAGGAACCCTACTGTCACCTGCCTCACTTGCCACTTGGAGACTCAGAAGAAGTGGCCTGAGAGATAACTGGCCTCTAGGTTTCTAAATGAAATGATGGGTGCTTCTGATTTGGAAGGTTGGTCACCTCAAAGCAATTGAATGGTGAACATGTTCTGGAAGACTGTTATGTAATTTTTGCAATTTTAGTTACATCCTTACATCCACTTGAGGCGGAGTAGGAGCAGAGCATCGTTGGAGCGTCCTGACCAGCTTTTGAATCTTTGGATGTAGTCCTCCACATCAATACCATATGTTTTAAAGTTCATGGCCCTATTTTCTTCTTGGAGTTGGGGATGCCCAGCATATCTTCGTGTGTTCGTTTCATTGCCTGACGTGTTATCCTTGAATGTTCCTCTTGCATCTTTTTGAGGTGAGAGAAGGAACCATGTCCTCAAAGATATTTGCCAACAAGCACGTTTCATCGAGGGCTGTCATTTGAGGCAGAGCCACACTGCCAGGCACGCTGTGCACACGATTGTTTCGCAGGATGATGCCAACCTTGAAACAACTGAGACCAGAAGCGAAGATGCCATGTCTGGATCCTTTGCCCACACCGAAATGACCAGAGACGGGAATTTCCAGGCAGAACTGATGACCATTTGCAGCCGTCTCGGAATTTCCGATGAAGTTGCCCAGGACTTGCTCACCACCCTGGAACAGCGGGGTATTCTTCCCTCGCTGCCCCACGTTGACCGCTTCGATGAGAGTTCTTTGGCCGGAGAGTCCAAAGCATTGGATCGGATGCAGCAAGGGATGTCCGAGGAACAGGCTCGTGCCACGTGTAGGCAGATTCAGGAGCAGGGGGTGATGCCTGCTACAGCCATTTTGGACGTAAGGTCCGAAATCGCCATGCCGAGGAGTCGAGGTCAGTATCTCTGGATCTTGGTTTGAGGCACCAAGGAATCAATGATGGCACAATTCAGGACTTGCTTGGAGAGGGGAATGTTGCCCATACACACATGACGGAGGAGACAGACCAACCACAGGCCGTCGAACTCTCCCAAACCTCTCCAAGTGCCCCTCCAGCCATGGTGACAGAGTCTGCTGCACCAATTGCGGACGAAGAGGCTCAAGAATTGCCAACAAGCTCCCAGGTCAGGGAGTCAGAAACTTCCTTCCAGGAACATCCAGAGGGACCCCACCAAAGGCCTTCTGGCGCTATGCCTGGCGTGTTTGTTATTAGGCATCAGAAGGCATGCAAGCTAATCTTGGGAAGCTTCCTTGTTGTGATCATTGGATTTGCTCTTCATGACCAATCTTCACTTCTGAGAGAGATTGAAGAAATAGGTGCGTGGCCGGAGACTGGGTGGCTTCATTTTAGTTTGTCAGAGTGGCATTGGGCAGCTGCAGCAGGACACTCAGCAGTGGTGGAACAGTTGCTCCACTCTGCTGCTGACCAGGAAACAGTAGACCGTAACCAGGAGGATTTGCCAGCTCTCACATCAGAGGCAAACGGAAGGGTAGTGTTCAGAAAGGGTTTTGCAAAAAATTCGTGGAAGTTGCCAAGTATCCACATGGCTTTACATTTTGCAGCTCTCGCGGGACAGCAGAATTTGGTGGAAAAGTTGCTCCAGGCTGGTGCTAACAAGGAAGCAGTGGAT